GGGTGAGAGGGAGGGGGGTTTGGGGGGTCGGGTTGATGTGGGTACTGGGGGGACATGACAGGGGTGCTCCTGGGCTTGAGGGGGTGATGAGGGCCAGGGAGACCTGGGTCTGTAGCTGGACACCTTGGGGTCACTGGGGCTTCGGGAGCTGGGGTGTTCCTGGGGTGCCTGCAAGGAGGAGCCGGGGTGACGAAGGGAGCCTGTGTGCAGGTGGCTGCTGCCAAACTAGGCAAGGATTCCCTTCGTTGGAAGGGGGATTTGGCCCCCCGAGGGGCTCTGTCTCCAAGGGCTTTTCCTCCTTCCTGCCCCCTTCATCCCCCCAGTCTGTGGGCGCAGGAGAGCGAGCTCTGGGTCGCTGGTGTTCCCTCTCCTGGAGGGGATCTGGGGCATTGCCACCAAACCAGAGGGAAGAGACAAAGGACTCTCCTGTGCAGGCACAGACGGCTCGGGCCGAGGGAACAGCAGCTCAAGCTGGGTGGGGAGCGGGTGTCGTGGTTTTGTTTGGGGTTTGAGGGGGGGAGAAGGCGTGCATGGCCTGACTGCGCAGTCCCTATCGGGAGGATGTGTATGTGCTCTTACCAGGTGTTGTGCAACCTGTGTAGCTGTTTTCTTCCTCTTTCTCATCCACCCTCCTCCACTACGAGCTCTTCTGTCTATCCTGTTGCTGGCAGGGTGGGGATGCACCCGGGGTGAGTCAGTCCGAGGGTCAGCTGTGTCCGAGAAGCTGGGTGGTTTGTTTTTCTCATGGAGCAGTGGCAGGCAGGTCTGATGCTTCAGAGTCAGGTCTTATCTCTTCGCTGAAATGGAGTCTTTTTCTGTAGCCTCTTTTGGCACTAGGTCCTTTGAACTCTCATCCTTTCAGCAACTCATGCTCCTGTTTTGTGCCTGAGAGCTTCCAGACTCGGCACTGTTGGGTGGCAGTAGATGAGACTTTCTGCTAAGAGGAGAGTGAAGGGGCCAAGTCCTCTTGCCGACGTTACCACGAGCTGGCTGTTTGTGCATGGCAAAGCGGGGTTGCTTTCCGAGCCCCCTTCGGGATCGCTTTGCCTCTGGCTGGTTTTGTTCTGATCCTCTCTGACACAACAAAGGGGATTATTCTGCGAAGTTCAGCTGTTTGGCCAGAGCCCAGCCCAGGGCCGCGTGTTGCTGTGTGTGCGTGTGCGCTGCCCTGGGCTGCCTGAAGCTCCACGCACACACAAAATGCATCCAGCCCCAGCCGCCGCCTTGATTTTCCTTCATTCCACCTCTTGTCCTGTGCCGCAGAGCACAGAGCAGTCAGACAAAGGGCCAGCCTGGGAGTAATGTGCGTAGGGACGGACCCGCTGCGGTCAGGGGCTCCCTGGGCTCGTGATAAGATCAACTTGTGCTGGGGCCAGATCCTGGCAGGGTGGGAGGGGGGCAGAGAGCAGAGGGGTTGGACCCCAGGATGGAGTCGGGGTTGGTCAGGGCGGCAGTGAGGAGGACAGATGTCTCTCTGCCTTCTACACTAATCTTTTAACGGCTGTGAGCTGGCGACTGGGTTCGGCAGCGTCGCCTATTGTCGAGGCTGTAATTCCAGAAGCATCCGAAGCCTCATTTGCAGTTACCCTCTTGAATGGGGCCCGCGCCAGGCTCGTGGGGCTCGTTCCGCGGGTCAAGAGCGATCCCAGGTCGCTGTCCCCCGCTGCTGGGCAGAGCTGGGGTAGTTCGCGCTGTCTCTTCACGGATCCGTCTAAATTCTCGTGTACACGAACTGAGGGAGCAAGAAATGTTCAGGGAGGAGTTGTGTGTTTTAAGTCTTCACCACTGTTTCTGGCCGTTGGCTTTTTTGGGAGCAGCGGCTGAATCTTGATCTGGAAGTTTGCTTCCAGAGCCTGGAAACACCCGAAAGCTGAAACAGTCACCGCAGGTTGTGCAGCGACGCTGGGAGAAGCTGCCCCTGTCCTCTTGGGACGCCTGGCGCCGGTGGGCTGGGGCAGCAGCTCTCTAGGGAGGATGGGGATGTTGCTGTACGTCTCCGTGCCACCTCAGGATTCACCTTCTCACTCGGAGGCCGACAGCGGGCCTGTCTTTTTGGCCTGCCTTAATACCTTTGTTTTTGTGGTCATCACCCACAGGAGAAGCCAGTGGTGGGCCAGTTGTCTCTGCTGGCGCTGGAGTTGTGGACTGCAGCGTGATCTTCTTGTGCTTTTATTTTTAGCACCTGAGCTGCGCGCTGTGGCCAGTTTTGACTTGGTCTCTTTTTTCGGTGGTGACGGGCTATTTTTAGAGATTCAGTGTGTTAACCGGAGCACCGAGCACCTGATGCTTCCTTCCCTGTGAGCTCTGAAGGGTAAACAGTCTTTTCTCTGGTGGCGCGGCCATTGCGTGTCCCTGACAGCAGGACCGGGGATGACCCCAGGCTTGCGGTCTGGCTCCGAGCGCCGCTCGGTTTGTTCAGGCGTGCGGCTCCAGCTGGGGCCCCCAGCCCCGTCTGCCGCCTTACAGCCACGAGGCCCTCGCCCCGCTGCTGTTTGCCATCCAGAAGCAGCCTGCCCTCGGTGTCATCACCCTGTGCCGTGGGTGCTGGTGTGGGAGGGGGCAGTGAGCGTGCGAGGCACATGCCGGACTGGCACCGTGAGCTCCTGCTGTGTTCTGCCTGGGGCCTGCTGCCTCCGTGTAAGAGAGCTCCGGGTTAGCATGTGTGGGCCCCGGTGGAGAAGAGGTTACGGGGCAGGATGGTGGTGAAGGAGCTGCCGCAGCTCGCGAGCCCATCCGCTCACCTTCCTCCGCACAGTGGCAGGGCAGCCGTGCTGCTGGTGTCCTGCCTGCAGAGCTGGCCGGCGCGGAGGCTCTGTCTCTGCAGGAGCGCAGCTGGACCTGGCAGAGGTTCCTTTTTCCTGGTGGTGTCGGGAGATCTGTGGTTTCCTTCCCTTCCTTCTCACAAGCTGATGCTTACTTCTCCTTATTGTTTCCTTGCAGGCTCGTCTCCGGTTTCCCATCGACTACCCCTATTCTCCTCCTGCCTTTAGGTTCTTAACCAAAATGTGGCACCCCAATATCTACGAGGTAGGTCGCCTGGGACAGCGTGGGGCGTCTTGGACAGGCAGGTGGGCACATGTCCGTCCATTGTGACGGTACTGGATGAAAATGCCAGCCTTTGTCTGGCATCGGAGCACGGCATTGGAAACTCGGTGCCTTTGGCGTTTAGTGCCTGGCACTGGAAATGCAGCTAATGAGCTTACGACAGCCGGTCTCCTGTCCTGGAGCTGTTTCCAGGTCAGCCAGGCTCTCCAGGCTTGAAGGCTCCCACGCTTGACTAGTGGGGACGTTGTGCTTATGCCAAGAGTGGATGCAGAGCGAGCGATGTGCGCGGCCCCGGGGCTGCATGCTTGCGGCGGATTGCTGCCTGGGGGTGTGTGGGGTTTGGCTGTGTCAGGTGGGCACCGGGAGGGCTGTGCTGGGGATGCAACGTGTTCGGGCATCGGACAGCTGATGGTTAGGCAGCCTCGTCTGTACTGTGCTGGCAATCGCGGGGTGCTTATGCAAGGCCTGAGGCTGCGGGCAGCATAGCGGGGACTGCCGCTTCTGCTGTCCCTTC